TTGCATGTAGTGGTTTAAAAAATTACTTTAATTCAAATTCACAAAAAAATAATACATTAAGTATGAACTTAGCTACTATTCTGAAAGATTTTCCCAAAAAGCGTAGAAAAGCAGCCCGGCACCATATGCATATTGCTTCCCTACTTTTTAGCTATTATCCATTTTCACTCTGTTATAGCGACACCTAATGGGGAACTTTGAAACTATAATTTTTGACTAAATCCTTAATTGCATGATCTAAAGTAACAATCAGTTAAGACGTCATTTGGATCCGTTTTGGAGAAACGGAGCTCATCAAATCTCATCAATCCTGTATAAATCAAGCTGTATTTCATAGTTTCCGGAGGCAACAATAAAACGCTTTTGCTTAAGTAGTATAAAATATTTCATTAAATGATGAAAAAAATTTTATTTTCAAATTGTTTCTTAACTGTGTAAATAACCCTACATAGTATATTGTAGAGCTTATACTGTTGACAAAATAAAATATTTTTAGGGATCATTTGAGTACTTTTTGGGATCTTTTTTATATAGGTTGAGTAATCGATGAATACAATTGATAAAATAAAGTCATTTGAAACACTTAGCGCCTAAATATGAGCTCTTGTTTTCATTTATTTTAGTGAGTAATCTGTTTTTAATGCTTACATTTAATCAGCCAGTATAAAAACTTTAAGTTCCTAGAAAAACTGAATAACTATTTACAATGATTTTTTTATATTTACTCAGTGTCGGTCATTTACAATTTGTTGACAAACACGCATGACCTGAGGTAGACAAAAAATTTTACAATTTGAGTCTGAAGCAAAAATAAAGAAACTTACAAAATAAAAATTTGCTTTGATGAACGTAATGCTCTGTGCTGAACCAAAACATGAAATATAAATATTGGACCGAAAAGCACCGTTGTTAAGCATCGGAAATAGCCCAAATTCCAGGAGATGAGCAAACTACAGCTAAAAAAAATTAATTAGATTTCATTATTTCACGAAGTTAAGAAGTAAAGTAGCAGGTTATAAATGTAATAGATCACTAATATTCATCAAATAAAATCAGTATGATGCACTCAAAAATATTAAGATAGTGGGCTTCACCTACAAATCCAGTAATCCTGTAATAGTCCTACTTGTCAATTAGGCAATGTATAGTGAATTGTAGATAGGACATTGAAGGAAGTCCAATGAGTAGCAAGAAATGTAAAGAAAAATGGAATAGTGTGAAACCGTTCCCCTAAAAGCAAACAAATGCGTGTTCTTTTCCATTTGAGTTTGCCAAATGTTTTGAGCATGCATGAACATTTTGCGAACGAGTGAGTTTTAACTCTCCACTGCATGAGAGCAACGTAGGGAATATCTCTAAGCAGATTTCATAGGAAAAAAGTTCTGTCCAAGTCAAAGTTTCAAATGTTTCTTCCCAAATGGCATCGTAGGAAGGGTCATTACGCTAGAGGCAGATTAGATGACTAAGTCAGCCTTGTAAATGTCCAGAATACCGACATGATTAGGTATCCAAAGATAAAAAATACCACATAATAGGTTATGCAGAGAAATCAATAAAGGATGAATAGAGTTTTATATTGGTTATTTTCATTCCAATTATTAGCAGCTAGCTTTAAGATCATTAAGAAAATTGTTTAAGCCTCTCAGGATGGTTAACTTTGCTGACTAGAGCATTGTTACACTGGAGTGAACAAATTTGCGGTATCTACAATTGAGATCCAGTTAAAGGAAAGTAAAACACTAAACATTTAAATAAGAGGGCAAAATCTCTATCAGCTTCCGCATTGCACACAGAGCATGCAACAATAATATCACAGATAAGAGACCAGCTCATTTCAGGGGATGAGAAATAACAGAAAATACTGATGACGATGGATAGTAAGAAATCGTAGGTACAACAGTAGAGTTTTTGTAAGATAAAAATAGTGAATGAAATTGGCTTTGTAAAATGATCTAAGGTTGAATCAGAAAATGATCTACTGATTCGGTGGTTAAATTGTTAATAGAAGCCTTTTACATTTTTAGGTTCAAGAGCCGTTATCGGGTAAAAATGTAAATCACAATATTTACTCAAGAGAAGAAAAATTAAGATTTACAAAAAAGTAATAAAGATCTCAAAATAAATGCAGGAGTTTTTAATACTTACAAAAAACACTGTTTTCTTAAGAAGACCGAGGTTGTAGGCTCTTCTTTTTATTTTAAATTGAAGAGAATGAGAATTTTTTAAAACCTTAACTATATTACTTAACTTAAACTGAAACAAAACAATCAATATATTGTTTAAAGCACATATCGCTTTTTCTTTTTTACTTGTTTTACTGCTGATACCAATGGTTCTATAAAATATTTAAACTTTTCATATAATAATCATCATTTTATCTTGCCTTTTGCCATAAAGAAGAAAATCATTTCAAGATTGTCATATCAAGAGAAAGCTTTATTATAATCGAAAATTAGAATTGAAATTCCTGTAAGATGCATCTCTTTATATTGATCTGAGCTATATGTTGCATAAATTTAAATAATTAATGTTTCCAAGAAAATGGATGAATATAAACCGAAAACACTTTTAAAAATTTAAATTTCTTCCAACAAAACTTAATATTTACTTACTCATGGGATAAGAAAACCAATCCTTAAATTTCATAAGAGATTAATCGCAATTATTATTGCATGATATTACTTTGCTTAAAATCACTACAAAAATTAAATGTGTAATAAATTACAATAAATACTTTTTTTAATTTAGGATTATTTCAAAAAATTATTGCTAAAAAATTGTTTTTTTTTCTTTTAAACTGAATACAAGAAATAATAATAATAAAAATTCTCCTAAATTAATTAAAAAGGAATATTTTCTTTTCTAAAGGAATTAAAAACTTGAAAGGATGTGAAAAAAAAAAAAACTACAAATGCATATTTTGTAGCAAAAATAGAAAATTGAAAGAGGTTTTTATTAGTACTATTAACATTTTTGTTTTGCTCTGATGAAAAGATTAACGTTACGTGGATACATTATTTACAAAAAATGTGAAGGATTTCGAATACATAAAACTTATAACTGAAAAAGCATGATGTATGCTTTCGGTACTTTTTCTCTTTAAAACTCCATCTTTGAAGATATTTGCATTTATAATCATTATTTGTATTTTTGCATAATTAAATTAATGTGAAAGAAATATTTTTGTGACAGACATAATTAACTATGGTAATTAGTGTTATCGTATATGAGGATTTGTATAAGCATAGAAGAAACGGATTTTTTTTACTCATTCAAAAGTGTCATTGTTTACTCGAATTAATTTATTGCATAAAAATTATGTGAGATTCTTGATATTAAGCTTTATATTTTTCAAAATTTATATTAATAAAGCAGAATGTTTAGATGTGTACCTTACACAAATCCGCAATTCTGAAACGATCCGCACCAAATTCGGAGTATATATGTACGTTCAAAGACACGGCTGATCTAACTAACCCACCGATCACCGGTTCGCACGATACAGTCCAAAGAAGGAATTTTCCGTAAGATTTGACGTATATTTTATATGAGTAATTTCCTAACTTGAAACTCTAACCAATCAAACATTAGTTTTATCTTACGTTCTCATGAAAGAATTGTTTTAGGTATCCCATGTTAAATTATCGTAAGTAAAATCATTATAAATAACTTCTAAACGTATGGGAATGACATCACCAAATTCATATTTTTAAAGGTGTTTCTTATATTGATACTCTCTTGTAAATCAAATTGTATGAAGTTGCTCAGATGTAATATATAAAGGTTATATATTAGGCACCATGAATGTGTAGGTTGGTGATATTAGGGTGTTAATTCGTTTTGGAGATCTGGTATAGAGTCTATTACCAGATAACTTATAATATGCACTTTGGTTTAATAGGTTCTCATTACAACTCTTTTTATAGCGGTAATACCAGAAATATTTAAATATTTAGCAGGCACATGTAATTTAGTATTACTAGAATAAATAATAGTTTGCAATTTTTTACGGTCTTAGAAATGAGTACCGATATTATTTCGTTCGCCAAAAGTGATCAGAAAAATATAAGAGTCATTACTAATATAATTTACAATATTTACAAGTAATAAATTTTGGTAACAAGTGTTGATTCATTAAAAAAAATTACTCATAAATTACTCATCTAGGAAGATAAAAAAATAATCATCTTATTCGTATTGACGCCAAAATTGCTTTACTGGATTTACTAAAGAGTACTACTGATATAATGTTAATTAGTGTTTTTAATAAGTATTTTACATACTATAATTGGTATCAAGATTTATAAGGTGGAAGAAGGGTAATTACTCATCTAGGAAGATAAAAAAAATAATCATCTTATTCGTATTGACGCCAAAATTGCTTTACTGGTTTTAATAAAGAGTACTACTGATATAATGTTAATTAGTGTTTTTAATAAGTATTTTACATACTATAATTGGTATCAAGATTTATTTGCAGTTATAGGTTTTTACGGCCCAATTAAAGGGATCTGCGCAGGAGAAAATCGTTGATTTGGGTAATGTTTGGCTACATGAAGATGACGCTGGACAAGTATAGCTGTGCCAAATGATACTGAATAGAAATAATCTTTGTTTTAAAAGAATTTACTTCTGAAAACATGGTTTGTTTAATTTGATAGCCTAAAGTCACCAGGAAAAGCAAAAATAATAAAAGAAAAAAAAACACTGGATTTGTTTTAGCTAAATTAATTTGTTAGTACATGTCTTTTAGTATCGTGCATTATATGATATTGTTGTTTAATACTGGTTTATTTATAATATCTATTTTTTTACATCGTACGAGAAACTGGTTTCATTTTAGCATATAAATAATTTCAATCTTAATTAATTTTTCAAAACTATAATTTTACCATAGTTTTCTTTCCAATTGCTTATAATATTTAAGCAAAGGAAAAGGCGTTGTTTTATTTCGTATTCAAACTGTAAAAGTGTGAACGTGAACATTAATTATATTCTTATTACATATTTAGTATTCCATGTTTTGGCAACAGCAGTTCTTGTGTACGATATAGATTTTGAGTTTCTTCATCCATTTCTTCAATGTTTTCAGTAACTGCAGGAGGACTGAAGAAGTTAAAAAAGGACACATTCTGAACGGTTTTAGTTACAGTTCTAACAGCACCTCTAATCTTGTGCTTTTGCTTCTTTTTTATTGTCTTAACAGTGACATTTTTACCTTTCTTCCAGTCAATTGTGCAACCTTTAGCTTTGACTATTTCAGGTCCTTCAAATGAAAATACATCTGCTGGATCAGGAACACATTTCAATCCATATTCTTTAGTTAAGACAGAATTTGTGAAGTACTCGTTTGGCTCAAAATGAAATTCCAAGGTGAAACTCATAGGATCGGCAAATGTGGTAGCCTTGACATCGATCAAGTGTTTAAGGATGGGTTCATCATATTCCTGTAAAAGTGTGCCGCTTCACTTGAAGGATTATAAGTTGTTTCGAAGGGACGAGGTCATCCAAAAGTCAGGATGGTCGAGTGTAAAAGTGTGAACGTGAACATTAATTATATTCTTATTACATATTTAGTATTCCATGTTTTGGCAACAGCAGTTCTTGTGTACGATATAGATTTTGAGTTTTTGGAATAACGGTGTGTGTAAATTTTAATAAAGTATTGATTTGTTTTTCTTTTAAAAGTTGTTTCTTACAAAACATTAATTATTTACTAATTTTCTTTTACTTAATTTAGAGGTAGTGCTTTTATAATTTTAATGCAAATTTGAAATTTTTTTTAATATGTTATGAAATTTAAGATGCTTACTTTTAATTAGTTCCTATGTGTTCAAAATGACTTAAAAAATATTTTAAAAAATGAATCTTAGTAAAATGATAATTGTTTTCGTTATTGCTATCTGAATACCCATTCTTTGCATGGGGTAGAAAAATTTAAGCAATTAATATATCAGTACTGAACATATTTAAATTTATTATTATTTTTTGTCTTTCTGGGTACATTTACGTTATTGGATTAAGTAAAACACATTTTAGATGTTTTTCATCAAAAGAAGAATAAATGCCTTCAGAAATATTTGGCATGCTGTCGTTTCTCGAGATATGATATTCAAAATCCACTATAGCCGCACGTCTAATTCTTCGGGATTTATCCCTTTAGAGGGACCGGAAAAAACTTTCTCACACAGTTGTTAATATTTAATTTTCCCAGCATTGATGTAGTTCTAAAAATATACATGTAGCAAATATACTAATATAATGGATTCTACCTATATTCGCACAGTTGGTACTTATTAAAACTTCAATAATTTTCACAATACCGTTAGTGCCTATTACCAGAATTATTTAGGCAACATTGGTGTCAATAATAGCATTGCAAGTAATTAAAATGTTTCATGGACAACTAGCACCTTTTCTTTTTTTATTTTCCTTTTTATTACAGACTTCTCTTTTTTTAATTTTAATTTGTACCTCCTACCCAAATTAACATGCCATCATTTTTGCAAATGCATCATTTTTAGTAATGTCGAAATCTGAAAAAATAAAAAATAACACCCCGCTTGACAGGTTCATAGTAGAATGTCGACAACGAGACATCTGTCTCGGTCGGGTGGTTTAAAAGTCTTTAAAGAACAGATATTCATTTTTATAAATATAGATGATTTCGTGACCTTTTTATGACAAGTTTGACACCAGCTCATTAAATTACGATAAAGCCCTTATACTAGTCTAATTTTCGGCAATAAGAGATCATAAATATGAAAAAATTTAAATAAATAATAAATAAAACGAGCATGGACAAAGTTAAACAAGTACTGTAAAAAAATTGGCATGTTTATTCAAAGACAGTAAGTTATATTATTAGGTGTTGTAACTTAAAACTCTATTTTATCGAAAAGGAGTTTATATCACGTTTTATTATTTTTTTAATTTTGGTTTCCTATAACAAGCACACATGAATAAAAGTATTAATATTTGGAAATGCATGGCTGTGGGATCATAAAATAAGCATTTTATAAGATAAATCACGTGATATTTTTTTGCTTTTTATTAAAGCTTGATTTTGTAAAAAATTATTATAATATTAAATCATGTTAACATATACTTTTAAAATGCATTTTGATTCATCTCCAAAATGTCGTTCCATTAAGAAAATTAACAATTTTTGTCAATACTTCGTGAATTGCAGCACCAGCAGCACCTGCTCGAACGATATCAAATTCACGAGCCTGTACACTCTGGCAGAATTAAGCACCAAATGTGGTTGCAAGGATAAATCTTCGAGTTCTAGATACATGCAGGCAAGAATACGATTGGGAGAAGCAGGATTGATCATGCACTTGTTACAAATAGGGAAGACCCTTCTCCCCCACGAGTGACATATGCTGCAAAATTAATATTGGGTTACTAATACGGATCGAATGATATTAGCTTTAGTAAGCGCTTCTACTGGTGGGCAAAATTAATAAAACTTTTATTTATTAAATCTAATGACCAAATAATTTTTTTTGGTAAATCATAAGGTCACTGGAAAGGGCAATAAGGAATGTAAATATTGTGCTGACAGTTCAGTTTGATAATTTGAATCCGGATGGAAAAATTAAGCTATTCGTAGCAAATTCGTGACATTAATTAGGCAAAAATAATCATAAATATATTTGAATCATTAATAATTATTTTTGAGAATTACATTTGTTATAAATCTCGACTCTTCCGAAATCAAAGGCAATACACTTGTAGTTTAAAACAATGTCCATTCAAGCAGTTCAACAGTTTGAAACGATTCAATCCAATGAATTTCAATTATTTTCAGTGGGATAATTTTCAGTCTAGTTAAAGGAGTGATACTATATAGTTTTGTAATAAAAAGTTTTCATAAAATCTTAATATCAAAAGTATTTATATTCCAGAATTACATACTGTACATATACACCAATTAATCAATTAACTTTTTATTTCCCAGCTCCAAAAAATTTTCAAGACACGTTTTTCTCTCCTATTATTTCCCTTTTTTTTTTAAAAAAAAAAGTTTTTTTTAATCCTATTAGGACGAAACATAACCTAATCCAGAAAGGAGAAAAAAGTATCGAACCCTTTTGTAATTAGGAATGAATGAAACTGAAAAGAAATGCCAAACAAAAGAGGCTTAGCAATTTTTTGAAAAACAATATTATCGTCAGTTATAAAAAAAAAAATTAAAAAGAAATGCTTCCTGTCTATTTTATTTATTTTTTATAACTTTTTATTATTATAACTTTTTATTGTATAATCCTCTTTATTGTAGATTTATTATACTCTACCTCTCTTATATTTATTATGAAAAATTTTGTGTTCCTAGAAAGTCTCATGAGAATTTATCAAAAATTATTTAGGAAGCAAATTATTGCCCGCTTCCTGACTAATGTACTGCTTTCATGTAACCATACAAAAATCGCAGGTCAAAAGGAAATTGTGGTGATATTGGTTGATCAAACCATGACGATTATACCTTATTTCGTAAATAACTCTTTAATTATTTCAAAGTATCGCAAGCGTGCTTTAAATTGCTTGCGTTTTGTAGATATATAAATGAGTTAAAAATTATTATTTTTTTTCTTTTTATTGCTCCAAATTTTCTTCATATGTTTTAGATTTGTATCACTAAGATTTCAACCAAAGCTATGAAAAAGAAGCGAAGCAAATAAAATTTTATATCTTGTAGCACTAAAACCGTAAGGCTGGTTAATTTGACCAAAATTGATACTTCGTATATCACTACACGATAAATAGTAATTGCAAATAAAATCCTTTATGACTTTTAATAATTTAAGGTTTGCAACAACTTTCCAAATCTACAGTTAAGAAAAATAAATAAAAAATAAAAAAACATCATAAATCGCTTACTTCAACGCAAATAAAATCTATGTAGACGTAATTAAATAAATCACAAAACACAAATTTTTCAAGTCCAATTCACGTAATTTCCATGCACAGGTTTTTTATTATATTCTGAATGTCCTTGCTATCAATTTTATTTTTAAAATTTACATTACTAAACCTTAAGAGGAAAATCTATTAGTCAGGTATATTTGGGAAATTGAGAAAAAAAATTGCTCGTTTCCTGCAATATATATANTATATATGATGGTCAACTCCAAGTTATGCTTAAGTAATAGTTCTAACTGTGATAAAGTCCATATATTTATTCAAAATGGAAACCGTCCGTTTGTGGAAAATGTGCAAGGCCCATAACTAAATTTTGTGCACAGCGCATTAAAACAATTAACGCATTGTAAACTTGTGGAAGACTTAAGCCCCATCACCTTCACTAATTTTTAAATGCCTTTGGGAAGTTTTCTTCCTCACTAATGATTTGTTCTGCCTTCGGATGATAACTTGAGGAAATACGAAAAAAGTGGTTTGTTTTTTTACATCAATTTTGGTAGCTGTAAAGTTTAATTCCAACTAACTTCCTATAAAAAATACCCTCAAATCGAATTAAATTTAGTTAATTGGGTATCTAACTAATTTTTATTAGTGAGACTCAAAAATATTTGAACATAACATAACTGGAAGATATGAACTTATGAGATAATAGCAAAATTTTTAACTTTCATGTAAATATTTTTGGAAAAGATATGTAAAATAATTAAGAAAAAATATACTATGTTTTTGTTTTTCTCATTAAAAAGAGAAAGTTAAATTTAAGACATGTTATTATAGTAAACAGAATATTATTTCTTCAAAATAATACGATGGGGCTTTTGGTTTATTTTTAATTTTTTTCTATGTAGGGTCAAAATAATTCTCTCTGTATTGTTCTAAATATATCGAAATTACCACGGTTCTAGAGATAATAAATAATGATTCAGAACATTTGCGTAACGAATCAGCTCAGTTTTCATTATTTTCAATATGTAGATCCTATTGTTTTCAATTTAATTCGTACCGAATGATTTTCTCAGAAACAATTTTAGAGTGTTCCTCGCTATTTTATTTTATATTTTGTAATGAAATTTGAATTTTTTTAGAAAAATGAATGTATATTATTCTGAATTAACTGACAACCTTTCCAGGTTAAAAAAAAGTGATCTACATAAATCGAGATATTTTGCAAGCTCAGCAATATACGATTCAAATAAAACAAATACATCCCTCAGCATTATCAAAAAGAAAAAGATCTAATATCTCACATTCGAAACAATGCTTTCTTTTCCCCGTGTTTGCTTACCAATCAAAAACATCTGTTTGGTATAGCCTGTTTCCAATTATCTTTCTTAATAACATCCAGAGTTCTGATGATAGAATTGTGTTAATACAAAAGAATGAAATGTATATAGCACTAGGGCTCATAGATTAAAATATACATTCGGCATAAAAATATATTTCAATGATAATAAAGCATCGCAGACACCAAAACTTAAAGTAATTTTCTTGAGAAAAAAAATTATATGATGTTAACATATTGA